AGTAAATGCTTCTTGAATTAAGAATTTTTAGATGTTTGAACTGGAAACAAGACAAAACTTGTCTTGTATACAGTCCAAATATAAAAAAAAAAAAAAAAAATTAAGTGAGTTTTTGCTTAAAACAAGAATGATTTTCTGCCAATGGAGTCAGAAAAATAATCTTGTTATAATTTATACTTGTAATTTTACTTATCTAGTAAATGCTTCTTGATTTAACTTTTTTTTTTTTTGATATTTGGACTGGAAAAGCATTTTTGCAGTGTAATATTATATTTTATCCTCTTGTCTCTGAGAATGTTATTTTAATATGTTTTACAGGTACAGAAGACTGGTACATCTGTGTGTTAGCATAGCTAAAGGGAAACAACAGTGCAAACACACATCTGGCCCTTTCAGCTTCCAGCAGAGCAATAAACTGTGTTATTATTGTGATTATTATACATATTTATTCTTATAGTTAAAGGAGTAGTTCAGTTTTAAAAATATTTCTGCTGATAATTTACTCACCCCCGTGTCATCATCCAAGATATCCATGTCATTCTTTCTTCAGTCGAAAAGAAATGAAGGTTTTGAGGAAAACATTAAGATTAATTTGCCCTGTTTAGTCAGATTTATCAAAAGAATCAAAACATGTCTCTCATATTGTCAGGTATTATCAGGGCTTTATTTTGATTATATCTCGGACTCGTAGTTTATATTTGTGTCTGTCAACATACGTGTATCGCCTGTGAATTTTGTTTACATTTCTTGGTCAGATTGTGTGTAATTATGAGTCTTTTTCATTAGCAAACTGTAACTTTGATTCTGTGTCTTTCTGAATTCCTCTACAACATTTACAAACCAAATTATATGAGCAAAACCATCCAGCTATTCCATAACATTAGCAGTGTTTTAAAATACAGAAATAAAAATACACACAAATGACAACTGACAATTGTTGAGTGTATTTTTATTCATCAAAATCCAGATATAGCTGTTCATATAAAACAGTTTCCACTACGTACACACGAGGAAAGTCCCTAAAATATTTTGTGGTTATGGGGGACTGAAAAATATGATATAGTTACGCCTCTGTTACAAAACTTCCACCTGTAACACATGGCCGAATTCCCACACACACACTACTCTCATATCCACTCTGCTGGCCACCATCTGTGTGAGTTTGGCAGTGACAGCCGGTGCATCTGTGTGCACATCCCCTTTCACTTCTGTCCTCAGTGTGTGTGTGTGTGTGTGTGTGTGTGGAGGCCAGTGGGTCACAGCTGTACACAAGCTAATTCCTCAGTACCAGCATTGCATCGGCCTCAGGGCTGTTACTCTTCAGGCCTTTATAAGAGCATGTGTTAAAGGGATATTTCACCTAAAACTTGCAATAATCTCATAATTTACACCCTCAAGCCATCCTAGCTGTATATCATAGACTTTCTTCTTTCAGTCGAACACAATCAGAGTTATATTAAACAATATCCTGGCTCTTCACAGCTTTAGTGAATGGAGGACAAGATCTTGAAGCCCATTATTGTCAAAAAAATAATCCATACTTACTTTAAAACGGGCTTTTGAAGCGAAGCCATGCGTTTGTGTAATACAAATGTCCATATTTGTAACTTTGTAAACTATAATCGCTGGCTTCCGGTAACGGCCATACGCGAGTGATGTTCAAGCGGAAAGTTTCTCGATATGAATGATGAATATAAAGTATTGATTCTGCTTATATAGACAGATGTTTGCTCACACGCAGACGCATGCTAGTTCTCTCATTCAATGAACGAAACTAATGAATTGACTGGGAAAAAGAGTCACGAACGTGCATCACAGAACAGAGCAAAGCGAGCATTTGAGCTCATAAAACTTAAACTTTGTTATTTATTTATTAAATGAGCGATCGTTTCGCTTGATAAGACCCTTATTCATCGTCTGGAATCGTTTGAACAGTTTGCACGGAAACTGTTTTGGACCTTGAACCGTTTGGCTCCCATTGAAGTCCATTATATGGAGAAAATCCTGGAATGGGCAATTTCGACTGAGATATCTTGAATGACATGGGGGTGAGTAAATTATCAGCAAAAGTTTTTTCAAAAGTGAACTACTCCTTTAATGACACCACATTAAAAGCTTGATTATCATGCCTTCAGATGGGAGTTTCACAGAGACTCGCGCCCTTGAACCCGTCTGAACTTATCAGAAGAACGGGCATCGGTAGGAACGGGAAGGAGGATCTGCCCACACACACATCTGGTTCCTGCCAGAGGAAACCTGTGTGTGAGCTTTCACTGTTTACTTTCGCCTGGGGAACATGAGCTGAGGACTTCATTTATATTTATATATATATATATACAGTCAAACCAACATTTGTTCAGACACCTTTAACATTCCTCACATTATCACAGTCTAAACGCTCTTGTTTCGAAAATGGTAATAAAATATGACACTCAGTTTATATATTTCACTGCTTTTGTCTGTCCTTCTGTTAGACTGTCTCACAGATGAATTGGGTTGAATGTCTGTCAGCTGTTAAATTTGGCTACACAATTATACACTGAACGAAATTATAAATGCAACACTTGCATTTGCCCCCATTTTTCGTGAGCTGAACTCAAAGATCTAATGGTGTGTTCACACCGAACGCGAATTTAATAATTTGCGCGAGTAGATTACATACAAAGTCAATGCAAAGACGCGAATAGATGTATCATTCGTGGCAAGCATCACAAATGACGCGAATTGGGCGATGTGTTTGCCGCGAACGTCTTCCGTGCAAGTTAAACATTTTTTACTCGAGAGGAAGATTCAAGCGCTCTCAGACGATCTTGTGTCCGGGTGGCAGGTCTCAGACGATCTTGTGTCCGGGTGGCAGGTCTGGTCTCAGACGATCTTGTGTCCGGACGGCTGGTCTCAGACGATCTTGTGTCCGGGTGGCAGGTCTCAGACGATCTTGTGTCCGGGTGGCAGGTCTCAGACGATCTTGTGTCCGGGTGGCTGGTCTCAGACGATCTTGTGTCCGGGTGGCAGGTCTCAGACGATCTTGTGTCCGGGTGGCTGGTCTCAGACGATCTTGTGTCCGGACGGCTGGTCTCAGACGATCTTGTGTCCGGACGGCAGGTCTCAGACGATCTTGTGTCCGGACGGCTGGTCTCAGACGATCTTGTGTCCGGGTGGCTGGTCTCAGACGATCTTGTGTCCGGACGGCTGGTCTCGGACGATCTTGTGTCCGGGTGGCTGGTCTCAGACGATCTTGTGTCCGGGTGGCAGGTCTCGGACGATCTTGTGTCCGGGTGGCAGGTCTCAGACGATCTTGTGTCCGGGTGGCAGGTCTCAGACGATCTTGTGTCCGGGTGGCTGGTCTCGGACGATCTTGTGTCCGGGTGGCAGGTCTCAGACGATCTTGTGTCCGGGTGGCAGGTCTCAGACGATCTTATGTCCGGGTGGCAGGTCTCAGACGATCTTGTGTCCGGGTGGCTGGTCTCAGACGATCTTGTGTCCGGGTGGCTGGTCTCGGACGATCTTGTGTCCGGGTGGCTGGTCTCGGACGATCTTGTGTCCGGGTGGCTGGTCTCGGACGATCTTGTGTCCGGGTGGCTGGTCTGGTCTCAGACGATCTTGTGTCCGGGTGGCTGGTCTCGGACGATCTTGTGTCCGGGTGGCAGGTCTGGTCTCAGACGATCTTGTGTCCGGGTGGCTGGTCTCGGACGATCTTGTGTCCGGGTGGCTGGTCTCGGACGATCTTGTGTCCGGGTGGCTGGTCTCGGACGATCTTGTGTCCGGGTGGCTGGTCTCGGACGATCTTGTGTCCGGGTGGCTGGTCTCGACGATCTTGTGTCCGGGTGGCAGGTCTCAGACGATCTTGTGTCCGGGTGGCAGGTCTCAGACGATCTTGTGTCCGGGTGGCAGGTCTCAGACGATCTTATGTCCGGGTGGCAGGTCTCAGACGATCTTGTGTCCGGGTGGCAGGTCTCAGACGATCTTGTGTCCGGGTGGCTGGTCTCGGACGATCTTGTGTCCGGGTGGCAGGTCTCAGACGATCTTATGTCCGGGTGGCAGGTCTCAGACGATCTTGTGTCCGGGTGGCTGGTCTCAGACGATCTTGTACCGGGTGGCAGGTCTCGGACGATCTTGTGTCCGGGTGGCTGGTCTCAGACGATCTTGTGTCCGGGCGGCAGGTCTCAGACGATCTTGTGTCCGGGTGGCAGGTCTCAGACGATCTTGTGTCCGGGTGGCAGGTCTCAGACGATCTTGTGTCCGGGTGGCAGGTCTCAGACGATCTTGTGTCCGGGTGGCAGGTCTCAGACGATCTTGTGTCCGGGTGGCAGGTCTCAGACGATCTTGTGTCCGGGTGGCAGGTCTCAGACGATCTTGTGTCCGGGTGGCAGGTCTCAGTTGATCTTGTGTCGGTGGCAGGTCTCAGACGATCTTGTTTCTGAGTGGCAGGTCTCAGACGATCTTGTGTCCGGGTGGCAGGTCTTGTGTCCGGGCGGCTGGTCTCAGACGATCTTGTGTCCGGGCGGCTGGTCTCAGACGATCTTGTGTCCGGGTGGCTGGTCTCAGACGATCTTGTTTCTGAGTGGCAGTCTCAGACGATCTTGTGTCCGGGTGGCAGGTCTTGTGTCCGGGCGGCTGGTCTCAGACGATCTTGTGTCCGGGTGGCAGGTCTCAGACGATCTTGTGTCCGGGTGGCTGGTCTCAGACGATCTTGTTTCTGAGTGGCAGGTCTGTGTCCGGGTCTCAGACGTAAAAAATATATCTAAAAAAATATTTCTGGTGTCTGAATAATGTATAAAGATATTCAATTCACAAAATATTATCACAGACTTATCCTAACTCTCTTTATGAAATATCACTACAATTGTGCCTGTTCCTGGTTGTCATCAATGGGAGACTCTAAATCAGTTCTAGTTAGTTTAATATGTACAAACACACATTGACCAATTAGAGTACAGTCTCAGCCCACAGGCAGTCTGACCTCTCCAACACACACACACACATACACACACACCCTTTCCTTTGAGCGGTTACAGAGAGAGAAAGAGATAAAGAGAGAGAGGAACATGCGCTCGCTACACGTCTCCTGCTGTGACAGAGTATAATTAAATTGTGGAGAACGACACCGATATTGCTACCTAAACTAGAAAGAGGAAAGGGTTTGTGGTCAGCATTTAAAAAAGAGGAAAACTTTTCCAGTTTCATGAGGACTCTTCTCGTTGGGTTGCGTTCTTGAAGACGTTTGCGTGTGTTACTGAACTGGACGACTTTGCTCTTGTCTTTGGAGTTGATTTGTGGATTCGATGCATTGGGATGAGATGGCTGGAGAGATCCATGCAAGGAGACTTCACAGATCTGGGATCAGGAGAGCATCTTCCACCGTTCAAACGGTCATGCTTCATCGGTTGTCCAACAGACAGTCAACAGGTGAGAGACAGAAACATGCATGTGTTGTAGAGTCTGATGTGTGATGCAACATTACTCTCGTGGAGACGTCTAGTGGGATGCTGTGATGGAGAACATCATCTAAAAACACATTCTGGTGACCAAAAAGGTTTTAAAATCACTAAAATCACAAAATTTGAGCGTGTTAGTTGGGTTTGGAAGCTCCTTTTTCTGATTTACATACATGCATTTCAAAAGTTTGGGATTGAGTTTTAATGTTTTTAAAAGAAGTCTCTTCTGCTCACCAAGACTGCATTTATTTGATTAAAAATACCAAAAAAACAACAGTATTTTATCAATATTGTGACAATTTTCAGCATCATTACTCCAGTCTACAGTGTCACATATTCCTTCAGAAATCATTATTATATGATGTATGTTGAGAAAACAGTTGTGGACAATTTTTTTTCAGGATCCTTTGATGAATAAAAATTAGATTTATTTGAAATAGAATATTTTGTAACATTATAAATCTCTTGTACCTTTTGATCAATTTAATGCTAAATAAAAGTATAGATTTATTTTATTTATTCCCAAAAATTCCCTTTGTTAACAAATCTGTGCTTGATTGTCTAAACGTTTTAATCGCATCAATTTGATCAAGGAAGGTATCGTTAACATAAATCTCTCCATGCATGTAATCCCAGTCAATGTCCTCTTAAGAAATAAGTACACTCTAAAAGTGCTGGGTTGTTTTAACCCAACTTTGGGTCAAATATGGACAAACCCAAACGTTGGGTTAAAAATGTAATTAAAAAATTTAACCCAAAGGCTGGGTTTGTCCATATTTGACCCAAAGGTGGGTTAAAACAACCCAGCTATTTTAGAGTGTAGAGATGTCTGGTGGGACGCTGTGATGGAGAACAACATCTAAAACATATTCTGGTAAATTAATGTCAATTTTGATCATCCTTATTGAATAAAAGTATTGATTTATTTACAACTATTTGATCCTAAACTTTTGAATTGGAATTAACGCTCAGCAGCTTCTGTGAATAAAGCCCCGCCTACTTTGATTTGATTGGTCATTGATGAGTGTTGACAGACCAATGACAGATCTTGGTGCTGTTCAATATCTCTCAGCACTGAGATACCAAATTAGCCAATTATTTCACAACCTTTATAATATACTCCTTGTAAAAATCCAGTGACCTTTTCAGCAAGGCGGTCAGAAACTGTGTCTGCAGGACAAGGCCATGTTTTTTATACCTTATTTTGACTTCTTTGCACAGGATAAAAGCACATGCACAGCAAATCATGTAACCGGCGGGATCACAATATCTGAGAACTCCGAATCCACTTGAGACCAATACGAGATTTTAAGCCAAAGTACCACTTTTAAGTTGCACTTTATGGCTTTAGGGCGAAAATGTTTTTAGCTTGCATTGAAAGGTAATATACAGCGTTGCACATTACCTGTGGCGCTTGGCTCTTGGCAATAATGAGCTCTGCACACGTTTCTCTGATAAGCCCAGGATAATTAGGCTTAGTCATAAACATCCCCTGTACTTCAGTGATAAAATGGCTGAGGCAGCGAGTTAAACGTCCCTAAGGCCAGCGCTTCGGCACATGCACTGCTACCTATCGAGGTGTGTGTATCCATGCCCTCAAGTCATGACTCGATACATATCACGATACCAAACTCACAATACGATATTATTGCGATAAAATGTTAACAAAATATGTACTGTTGATTAAAGTGCTAACTTTGGTATATCATTGTGTGTGTAAATCAATATTCTTGGACTTGGTGCTGAAACCCAAAACACACCAAAATAACAATATTCATGATTCTGAAGCTGAAAATACATATTTTAAATAAGGTACGCCACTTTTTACTGGTAACATCAGACTTCTGGCATCAATATTCATACATTGCATTAGGGTTGGGTATCGAGAATCGAGTATCGATTGGAACGGGGACTAACTTTTCGTTTTTTCCGGAATCGTTCAAAAGTTAAAATTTCGATTCCTAGTTTCGATATTCACAGTCCGCCGAGCGGAAGAAGAAACCGCTGAACAACACCAACGAAGAAGCGTCTACCGGAAGTGTTAGCATAACCGCGCGAGTCGAACATGAGTATCTTACGTCGGCGGTCCAAAGTGTGGCTTCACTTTTCTAAAAATAACGAAATCTCAGCAAAATGCAAAATTTGTGACAAAAGGAGTATTTGTGACAGAAGGAGTATTTCCTTCAGAAAGACCGTTGGTTAGCAAGGTTAGCTAAACTTTTTTGACCCTGCCTCTTAAAAGAATCGGAATCGAGAATCTTTAGGAACCGGAATCGAAACAAGGAATCGGAATCAGAATCGTTCAAATTCAAACGATACCCAACCCTAATAACACGCGAACCCAAGTCGTCATATATCCTTTAGCGTAATATGAGACTACCATACCCCACACCTAAACCTAACCATCACAGCGCGTGTTATATTAACGATAACGGGTGCCATGTGCGTAGTACAGCGCCGTTTTGTCATATAGCGTTCTATATGACGCTAAAGGATGAGAATGCGTTGAAACGTTCAGTAAGACATCTATTGGACGTCTCCGATGGCAACATGACATCATGACTTTCAAGTCAAGTGGCGTGTTATCTATACGCATTTTGAGCTATCCGCGTGTATGCACGTATGTCTACGCCGTTAAATGTCCGAGCGAAACGAAGCAAGATTTAGATCCACATCGGGGGAACGATATTTTCTAGGGGAAGACTCATGAATGCTATTAACCCCAGTGACGGGGTTGGTGTAGGTCATTATTTTATATATACAGTAATAACGTTAAGTCAACGGCGTTCATAAACACGCTAAAAAGCGATTATGCGTGTTGATAGCACGCCAAAAATAGAAATACGAATTGGCGTGTCATATTTACACCATTTCGACGGACCTGATTTTGTCGCCACGTATCTTTTTTCTCTCTGGACAACCACATCTCGTCTGAGCGTTCCAGCACGTGTGAGAAGGGGCTGATGGGAAGTGTAGTCAACAGCTGGGTAATGAAGGGGCTTTTCATGTCGCGAAGCTTCTTGTGAGGCGGCAGATGTGGAGCGACTCGGGCAACAGCTGCGGAAAACGATAACCGGAGAGATGTCAGAGCGCTGGCTTATCATCACACACACACAGCAGTCTGCAATGAAAAACAGCCACCCACCACCACACATAGAAAAAGATGGGGGGGCCGAATTGAAACCCTGACATTTTTTCACGAAAAAAAGAGGGGGGAAATTATCAAAACGAAGTCTGTGGTTTCCTATCACTGGCAGCAGAGGGTTTATAAACCCTAATCCACAGATATCTGAATATGTATGCTTGGATGATATGTTGGCCGGTGCTTTAGCATCGTAGCATAGCAAGAGTGTTCGAATGTTTATGTTTTACTGCAGTTCATGACTAAACATGATGATCTGATGTATTCAGGATGGCTAAAACAGAGAAGGTGTGTGTCAATGCCTACAAGACAGCATTGCAATACACAACAAATCACTTGTACATCTGACTCATAAAGTTGAGGTAGATTTAAAGGAGTTGTTCACTTATGAATTAAAATTCCCTGATAAATTACTCTTTCTTTCTTCAGTCAAAAGGTTTTTGAAGAACACACTCCAGGTACAATGGACTTCAATGGGGTCCAACGGGTCGAGATGTGAGTTTCAGTGCAGCTTCAAAGTCTCGACACGATCCGGCCGAGGAATAAGAGTCCGATCTAACCAAACCAGCGGACATTTATAACAAAATATACATTTATATACTTTTAACCACTAATGCTGGTCTTGCGACACACATTACGTAATCAGGTTGACTTTTCGGCTCATAATGAGGACGTTTTGATTATATTATGTTGCTTGTTTGTTTTTAGACACTTATTTTAAGCTAAATAAAAAAATCTTCAATCAGTGATCTCGGGTTGATTGGGACACTCTCCCCCAGTCATCTCAGTGGGAAAAAGTGTCCAAGTCAACCTGAACGCACATGGGTGTCTAAATGTAAAAAAATAATCTTCCTTTGAATATTCATATCCAATTGGCTCAACTGATGAAATATATATATTTTCATTCTCAGATGCCACTGTTTTGCCTCTCAGGACCCAATATCCAGATCTTTGATGGCTATTTTTCTATTATATATTATAAAACTATATTTTTCTTCAACAAAGTACAGTCACAGTTTCTATGAAGTCCATGTTAATAATGAATTATAGCCCCATTTATACAACCACAGTTTTTGTATTACTTTTTTATACACACATGTACAAAGACTCATTAAAACCTATTGGGCAATTATAGTTACATTCATATTATTTTTATAATTACTTATTGCTCTTTCAGTGCACATGCTCACTGATTTATAAATGATCAAATATAAAATAGTTCCAGAGACACTTGTTTGCTGCACCAAGTAATTATGAATGATGTCTTTAATAGAGCCAGACCGATATATCGGCAGGCCGATATTAGGCATTTTCTAAAATATCGGTATCGGCAGTTATAATAGCCGATAAATGAATATTTCAAAAATAAAATAAAAACGGACGAATCACACTTCAACCTTGTCGTGAGTGTTGTCAAAAAGTGCAGGTAAATGGATAAGCAATAAATATATATTATTTAATTTATCAGAACTTTAAAATATTTTGATGTTCCTCTGTTCTGTTGTGACAATAGAAACAAGTTTCTTTTTAAAATGCATTATCATATTATTTTAGTTAAAACTCATAAATAACTACAAATAACTAATATTAGGGAAATCTGTTAATTTTTTGTTGCGCGTTTCTGAAACAAGAATAATAATAATAATAATAATAATAATATCGGCCGATATTATTATCGGAATATCGGATTTTAAAAACCAACAAATATTTGTATCGGTATCGGCCTTCAAAATCGGTCTGGCTCATGTTTGCATTAGAGTTCATAAATGGTACTATTGATTTGAAGATGAAGATAGTCAAAGTCAGATCTGTAGGGTTTGGAAGAGAGCTTTGTTTGTTTGTTTGTTTGTTTGTTTGTTTGTTTGTTTGTCGTTTGGTTAGATACCATGGTATATTAGTATGATATTTATTCATGGGATCCTAGATCACAAAACCAGTCACATATCACAAGGGTATATTTGTACACTCTAAAATAGCTGGGTTGTTTTAACCCAACTTTGGGTCAAATATGGACAAACCCAAACGTTGGGTTAAAAATGTAATTAAAAAATTTAACCCAATGGCTGGGTTTGCCCACATTTGACCCAAAGTTGGGTTAAAACAACCCAACATTTTTAGAGTGTAGCAATAGCCAACAATACATTATGGGTCAAAATTATTGATTTTTCTATTATGCCAAAACTCATTGGGGTTTTAAGTAAAGATTTTGTAAATTTCCTACCATGAATGTATAAAATTAATTTTTTGTGAGTGAATGCAGCACAATCGTGAACATAAATGCACAACTTTATAGGCGATTTTCTCAATGTTTTGATTTTTTTGCACCCTCAGATTATTATTATCGGAATATCGGATTTTAAAACCAACAAATATTTGTATCGGTATCGGCCTTCAAAATCTTTATCGGTCTTTAATGGCTAATGTTTGCATTAGATCCAGATTTTTTCAATAATCATATTGCGGCCAAATATTGTTCTATCCTAACAAACCAGTTTTATTTATTCAGTTTTCATGTGATTTATAAATCTCAATGTCTAAAAATGGACCCATGTGACTGGTTAAGTGGTCATGCAAGTACACCATCCGACACACGCCGCGTACCACTTTCTAGTAAGTAGTCTTCGAATGTCTATATAAGTGTGAAAGTGAGCACACGGCATGGGGAGGACAGGAGAAGATGAAGACAAAAGCAGTACGAGACAGAAAAGCAGAGAACAGTTATTCTTCCTATTTCCTCTGCTCTGCGGTCTCTATGAGGAACAGATGTTCACGGCTTGATAGTGTGCGTCAACCCCCTCTTCTCGCTATCTTCAGTCCCAGCTCTGCCAACAGACCCGGAGTCAGGGTTTAACCCTCGAGACGCGCACCTGCGAGGTCCACGCACAGATGTGCACATGCTAACGAAAACGCGACAAACTCACACCATCATTGAAGAACTGAACGAGGTCTCTGCGTGAATGCGATCTCAGTTGTCTTCTCTTAGATTGAATGGTTGATTGCTTCTCTTGAGCAAAAGAAACCTCGGCATATAGTGTTCAGATTTTGAGTCTGAAAGCGACAGTCAGAGATTGGAATAAGAAATGATAGATATTGAATGGCTAGGGCTCTGTTTAAATGCGTTTCTTGTTTTGATGATGAACTGATTTACTCTAAAAAATGATGTTGTTTCAACTCAAATTTGGGTCAAATAAGGACGAACCCAGCCGTTGGGTTGGGTAGCATTTTTAGGTGTACATTTTTAACCCAACAATTGGGTTAGTCAATATTTGATCCCACTTTTGGTTAAAGCAACCCTGCATTTATTAGAGTATGTTGTCTCCCGTTCAATAACTCGCTTTGTTACTTATGATACACTCGAAGAAAGAAAAATGCTGGGTTGTTTTAACCCAATTTTGGGTCAAACATGGACAAACGTTGGGTTAAAATTTTAATTTAAAAAGGTCGTGATAGTTTATCCAGAGAACCATTTCTCATTTGCAAACATGACCTGGCCAAGAGGCTACAGGAAAAAATAAGAACATAATGTACAGCTGTACATAGTCAAACACATAACACATAGAACAAGCAACTACATAAAAAAAAAGTTAGACAACAAAGGGGAAAAAGAAAACGAATAGAGTGCTTAAATATGTGTATAAATATGCTTCATGATTGTCAGCAGCAACAAGAGTCAACTATGTAATTTTCGAGGTTTTGCTTGAAGGTGGAGATTGGGATCAGAGATGTAAGTTTCAGGGTATTTTATAGTATGTTCCAGTCATGTAAAGCGAAAGGCATGGAAAGGATGGAAACATAGTAAAATGGACAGTATAAGCTCCAATGTTGTTTGATTTCCAACCATCTTCAAAGTATCTTTTTCGCTAGTGGTTAAAAACCTAAATTTGTTGAATTCACTTCGGTCATTTTTGTTGTTTTAGAATTTTTTCCTTCATTGGAATGACACGAAACTTGGTAAAGATTTTGGCACTTCCAGTGTGAACGCAAAAAAAAAAAATCATGGACATGATTTAAAGAGATTAAATGGTCCAGTAAAAAAGTCAAACATGAACCGCACTGGAAATGAATGGGAAATGAATTTGTTGAGATTTGAAGCTCAACTTGTTTAGATTTATGGCTTTGATTTTCTGTCAGATTTAGAGTAAATGAGCATTCAAGATTCAAGTTGGAAATTTAATTTTCGGATCTACGTTCAAAAAGTGAGTAAACAGATTATAAATACAGCATTAATATAATTTAGTAAAAACACACACACACAAAAATAAATAAAAAATAAATAAAAAAACATTATCAAACTAAAAAAAAAAAAGTTAATTTTTGACCAACATGCGAAGAACATTAGAGGGATAAAATGATAGTTCACTTTGAAATTAATTTTTGATACGTTTTAACTTACCTCAAGGGCATCCAAGATGTAGGTGTCTTTGTTTCCACAGCATTTTCAATTTTGACATTTTTTTTTGGTCAAACCGTTGATGTCTGTCAGTCATATGATGCAGGTATATGGGGATCTCCTAAAAGAAGTCCAAATTAAACATGATTTAATGACCTAAGACACAAAACGCGCGGTCTGTGTGAGAAAACGAACAGTATTTATATCGTTTTTTACCTCTTGTTAACAGCCGTTGAACTGATCTGAATCAGATGTCCAACTGAACCGAACTGAACCGTCTCCAACGTGACGCCGGAAGTGATCGCGCGCGTCTACGTCACCCATTGTTTACACGGAGATTTTGGAAGTTTTACCTTTCACTAAACATATTTAGATATACAGGAAATCGCAATGGAAGACGATTTCGATATATCTAAATATGTTTAGTGAAAGGAAAAACTTCCGAAATCTCCGTGTAAACAATGCGTGACGTAATTACGCACGCGATCACGTCCGGCGTCACGTTGGAGACGGTTGGTTCAGTTCGGTTCAGTTAGACATCTGATTCAGTTCGACGGCTGTTATCAAGAGGTAAAAACTATATAAATACTGTTAGCTTTCTCACACAAACCGCTCTTTTCGTGTCTTAGGCCATCAATGTGTACATTTACGAGTCATTAAATCATGTTTAATCTGGACTTCTCTGTGCATGCTCTTTGAGGTGGGCTTCACACACCTCCATTATATGACTGACAGACAAGAACGGTTTGACCAAAAAATGTCAAAATTGAAAATGCTGTGGAAACAAAGACACCTACTTCTTGGATGCCCTTGAGGTAAGATAAAACATATCAAAAATTAATTTCAAAGTGAACTATCCTTTTATGTAGCCTTTTTCTTTTAAATTATCTTTTAATCCAGTAAGACGTTTTATACCAATAATCTGTTGCTTTGCCGTATTACAAAACAGTGCATTATCTCTTTCCCTCTTCATGTCCTGTCTCACATCCTCTCTCTGTCAGCATCACCCTGTTGAGAAATGACAACCTCTTCACACACACACACACACACACACACACACACTTCGTCATCTTCTTGTAATCTCTGCGGTTCAGAACAGCGATTGCAATGAAGAAACACGTTGGCGAGCGAACATCTGCTTCTGCAATGCGCACTGGATGCCTCCATTCCTCGCCTAAGGCCAGCTTCTCATTAGATAAAGTCCCTCTCCGAGCTTAAAATAACTTTCATTTACTGCAGTCTGAGCGAGTGACTCAACAGAGCCGGAGCTTCAGTGGCGGAGAACAAAGAGGGAGGACAAAAGAGCCGTGTTTCCCAGTCTTATCTCTTTCCAGCACTCTGGAGCCACGGGAAAGGATTTATAATGTGCGAGTGAGAAAAAGATCTACCTTACCCGTGCTATCTCTTTCTTTTCTGCTTCATTTCTGAAGCGTCATTTCCATACGG